TGAATAGATGAGTGGACGATTGGCCATGAGTGACACATAGCAGGTGGTCAATAAATATTTGTTGAATGAATGAATGGCGGTGGGGGTGAAAGAAAATGACAGACCATGGTGAACTCCAGCCTTTCTTTCCCTTCAAAGACTTGTGACAATCTGCTGGGGCTATCACATTTAAGGGGAGGAAGTGTCATGGTACATATTCTGCTTTAGAGCTTTGTCTTGATCTGCTAATTCCTCAGAGACTCCAGACTCTTCAAATTTAGTATATATTACTAATGTCCACAACTGGCCCCAAACCTGAAAGGCTGATTTAGAAAAGCATGAGCAACAGGTGGCTGGTCACATGTTGAGAAGCAGCCCCAAATATTACACATTCCCCAAGGAAGAAACAGGTGTCCTGGATTAGAAGGAAAAATAGGAACATATTATCCCTCTGCAGCCATTCCTCTTGCAACCAGCCCTAAAAGGAAAGAAGCCAGCAAATGGCTAGATTCCTGAGCACCCAGATGGCATTTGTTTGTCTAATTTTGTTTCTAGGGTATACTGTCCATTATGATTTGTTGCTTCCATTTTGATTTGTTGCCTGGAACTGTTAGAACTAGAATACCGGCTAAGGATCAGGGTTTGGTGTAAGGTCCGATAATTAAACCCAAAAGAGAGGAAGGAGGATGGGCGGAAGTAAGGAGACCTGGGTTCTTGTCTCTGCTCAGCCTCTCTCTGGGCCCCCGTTTCTTCATGTCCATTATGATTTGTTGCCTGGAACTGTTAGAACTGGAATACCGGCTAAGGATCAGGGTTTGGTGTAAGGTCCAATAATTAAACCCAAAAGAGAGGAAGGAGGATGGGTCGAAGTAAGGAGACCTGGGTTCTTGTCTCTGCTCAGCCTCTCTCTGGGCCCCCGTTTCTTCATCTGAATAACAATGAGGTGGGATTTGGATGGTCTTGGAGATCATTTTCACCTCCAAGATTCTAATTCTATGGTTGGTTTTGTCTTTTCTGGAATACGAATCTTTGATTCTTATCTGCTGACGTTCTTAGGTGTTCTAATTATTCAAGGAGTTGAATTCCTTCTAATGTAAACTGCAGTGGCTCTCAGAGCCCAGTAGGGGGACTCTGGGTGTGTGGCTTGATCCATCAATCATAGGGTGTGTCCACTACCAAGCTGTGGGTTGGGAGTTAGTAGGGAGAGCATTTCCAGTTCCTCTCTGGGTTGCTCCTGAGTCTACCAGGAGTTGTTTATGACTGTGGCTCCGGCAGGAAACACATGTTACAGGTCACTGTAGGAAATGGATGAGGTGGACGAGAGGTCTGAGAAGGTCATGAGACTAAGTGAAAGAGGCATAGAGGAGGCAGAAGTCCTCGTGGAGGGAAATGATGTTTAAGGTGAGGAGGTCGGACTAGATGGTCTCTCTCACTTTTTGACTCCATGACATTGACATATGTGTTTTGAAATAAAACTGAGCCACAAATGCCAGTAGGTTTAGCATTCTGCACACAGGAAAACATGTTTATAAAGAAATGAGGGGGGAGAACCAAAAGAGAGAAAGTATAATTAGAAATGAAAAAAATCAGAAGTTCGGGAGTTGGCAGTATATCATGTAAATAAAAGATAGTCAAAAACAAATTTGTTGGCAGCTAGTAATAAACCTAGATAAATGAAGGTAATTTGTTCATGAATACCTCTATGAAATTATGGTCTGTTGAATTAATGCCTTTGGCCAATAGCTCAACAATGTGACATTAACAGAAAGACACCACTCAGAGTGAAGAAGGTGGTTAGTCTCTCCTGTAGACTTTATCCCCAAAGCTGAAAATAAGGTGCTTGGCTGGTGTGTGTTTAATAAAAAAATGCATGAATGACTGGTTGGATCCTACCTTTGTATTTAAGAAAAGATACAAAGTAAAATGCACCCAGAGGAGGATGGTAACCAGAATAGGGAGGGAACTCAAAATTAGGCCCTAAGGCAGGGTCTTCACCCTGAAAAAGAGAATACTAAACAGAATGGTGAAAACTGTTTTTGAATATTTTAATGAATCTGAGAGAATAGGCATTAATTTGTTCTGCAAGTCTTATAAAGTAGAACTAGGACTAAGGAGCAGAAGTTTCAGGGAAGGAAAAATTAACATCTGAGAACTGAACGGCTTCACTCATCTGAGAGTGAGCTCCCTGCCCCTAGAAGTATTTCAGCACACCTTGGGTGGATAAATGCTCAGCAGAGATATTGTGGAGGAGACTAATCACATGGAAGTTATAATAAAGGACATTTAGCATCCCTCCCAATCCTTAGAGATTCTATGTTTGCACCTTAACAGGCTTCTCTATATAGAGAAAATAATTATTTGCCCCTATCCAATAACTCCGATGAGAATGTAAGTTCTATGAGGAAAGGGATTCATATCCATATTATCTACTTCAAAAAGTTCATGGAAAAATAGAATTGAAAGATAATACGAGTCTTTCCATGAACTTCTGAAGTACTCTTGTATATATGCAGGGACTGCAGATTCTCAATAAATATTTATTGAGTGAATGAATAAACAAAAGAAACATGATATTCTATCTCAGGCCAGTTGGATTCTCTAGGCTGGGCTCAGAGAACTGACAAGTAGTACAGACTAGACTCTAATTCGACAGCTGCAATTCCAGACTGAATGTCTATAAGAAAATTCACTAGATTGGGGCTTGTCAAAGTGTGACCTATGGACCAGTGTCATAAATGCAGATTCCTAGGCCCCCTGCAGAGTCAGTGATGACAACTTCTTGGAGGTGGGGCCGGGAAATCTGTGATTTAAGAAGCTCCTCAGCTGATTTTATGTCTAAATTTGAGAACCACGGGGCTAAATAGCAGATAACACTCCAAATTTGTTTCCTTGGAATGTAATGGAATAAAGAAACCAATTTTACAAAACTGAACTCCAACTTCTTGTAAGAATGCATCGTTTTTTGCTTGTTAGACTCAGGATTCACAAGTCACTCTCTTGTCTTCTGATATTGTCATCCATGATTTCAGGTTCTGCATTTAAAACCTACTGCGAAGGTTACAGAACTGAAGGATTAGCTATTTCTGTATCAGCTGACTCAGAGATAAAGATCTGAATCTCCAAAACTATTCCTCAGCCAGGTATTAGGCCGTTGTTAATCCTGAGCAGCGTCAGCAGTCAGTCTTCTCTCTCTGACTGGTTATAGCACACCCACCCCTGTAATGTGTGGGGTTGATATAATGTTCGGGAATCCATCCACTTCTCTGCTGGACCTTGAAATTCAATGTGTTAATGTTGTCTTCTATTTTTTTAATGTCGAATCTGCTGGATCTGGTGCCAAAGTCTTCCAGAGCACCAAGACAGGGGTTACAAACACAGTGGTGATGGAAAGTGGCCACCCGAAGATTCAGTTTGGTCAGCATTGTGATTTTTTTAAATTTAAATTTTAATTAATTAATTAATTTATTTTTTATTTGACCAGTAAGGGGATCGCAACCCTCAGCATGGTGTGGTCTGCACCACGCTCAGCCAATGAGCGCACCGGCCATCCCTATATAGGATCTGAACCCGCGGCCTCAGCGCTACCAGTGCCGCACTCTCCTGAGTGAGCCACGGGGCCGGCCCAGCATTGTGATTTTAAACGTTTTTGAATCTGAATGTTTTTAGACACTGCAGGTGTCCAGTGACCCTCTCTGCTGCCTG